AATATAAAAAATAAATAATCACAACTGATTCTTATTATTATATACTTTTTAGTATTATTAATATATAAAAGACAATGTATTATCATATATTGTTTCTACCTCAGAAAAAAGATAAAGATGTAGAACTAATAGCAAGAAGACACTTTAAATGAAAAGGATCAATGTAATATACTAAAGTTCCTAGAGATATACAAATTGGTACAATTTTGAAGTATATGAAGTTAGAAGAAAGAGGTAATTGTTATTTGTTTTTGTAAAGATCTATTTATTTATTTATAAAATAGAAGTTCAATCCTGCCAATTCCTAGACAAAATTGATAACTTTTTATATATATTTGAAATATAATATTTTTATATATGATAAATATATGCTATAGTGAAAATATAAACTATGGTATAGATACTATTTTATCAAAATATTTAACTGTGTTAATATTCATATATATAAATACTTTGGTGAAGACAATATAGAAAATAAAAGTAAAATAAAATAAAAATATTCTAGAAGTGGTAAAGGTACAATAAGTGCAATAGATACTGAAGATACAATAGCAGATCTGTGATATAGAACTATTCTAAAACAGATAACATTTCAAAGTAAGGAGTAGTGAAGATCTTGAATGACAATTAAGTATAATAGTATATTCAATTACAGTATATTAAAAAACCAACGAAATAAATAATTATTAAACAATAGAATACAATTATAGCAGAAAAGTTTAATACCATTTCAAATTCACAATGACAAAAATACTATCAACTTGATATTTCAATTTAATAACAAACCTATCAATAAACTTATCAATTTTCTAGTTAATAATCAATTCAACAACACATTTTGTAAAATGCATTCTGCACTCAAAAAATTCATCTGGTTTTATAGCAAAACAATACAAAGTAGAATTAATCAAATATAAATTGGTTTATCTTTACTATAGCTTTTAAAATATATTGTAATTATTGTAAAAATCAAAACATTCTTATTATAAATTATAACAATTTCAATATAATATGCTTTATCATGCCATTTTAACAATATCAAAAATTTTTAAAACTCAAAAATCAAAACTAGTTCAATTCTTTCAAATAATCTGCACAATCTCAACAGCCAATTCAATTCTGACACTTTAATTCAACAAGAACCAAACTGATATTAATCTGTTAAGAATTAATAACAATAACATCACATAAAAACATATTAAAAACTTATCAAATCAAGATCAATTACTTGAAAATCTTTTATATTACTAAAAAAAATACATTCATCTGTCTTAACTTAGTTATTTATGAATAAGTATAAGCCATTCATGAACTACTTTTGATATGGCATCACTTACTTGATATAATATAATATTAAAAGTTATACATACAATATACTAACATTAACTTAAATGAATATTTTATGTAATAATCATATTATTAATTAGTAAATAAAGTCTTGCATTTTATGAATATTTAATGTAATGACTATACTATTAATTAGTAAATAAAGTCTTGTGCTTTATGCTTATTTGTAATATAAAAAAGAATAACTATTTAAAGAAATATTTTTACCTTTATAACAACTCAAATTGTATTTCTGTCTTTGAGTTAATAAAATAATTTTACTTGTATCTTTTTGTGATTATCTTTTTTAACTAAATACAACTTATTATTTAAACTGTTATAATATATTTAAACTTTTACAGATATAACAAAATCTTGTATAAGTCTCTTGTCAAGTTAATTAAAGATGAAAAATATTGAAATTAGTATATTTTATCAGTACTTTTTGCTTACAAAACATTAAAACAATCCTCTATAAAAATAATCCTATTTTATTTACTTTATGAACTAAAATTTCAAATGCTTACAAGAAATATAAATAAATGTAAATTAAAAACAAGCTATAACAAACATCATTATTTGAAATAATCTTGATAAAAGTATGGTTCTGAAAATTGGAATCGAACAGATTATAGGAAATTGCATGAGGTTCAGAACACTATTAAAAATAATAGTGGGTATGCAACAATTTTTAATCAATTATATATTTTATTAGAAGTATTTCTACAGTAAAAAAAACAAACAAAAAAATATTTACAAAAAACAACAAAGACAGAAATAGATATTTAATCAAAAAATAACAAAGTATAAGAAATTCAAAATCAAAAACAAAGTATTAAAATATAATACTGCCAGAAATAAACATTTATAAAAAAAAATCTAATAGATAAATATTTTACAAGAAAATTGAAACTAAAATAAAAATAATCTTATTATATTTATAATATCTTATTTAATAATATCTTTAAACTTATAATAATGGAAGAAAAAGTTCTTATCACCTCTATCAATATCTTTTTTGAAGTTTTATTTTGACTAATTAGTATAAAAATCCAATATACTATATATATATAGAAAAAATATCTTTTAGCCACTGAAGAATTTAATATTCAGTTTATATAATATGAATACAGATGCTTAAGTAATTTAGTTTTTCACTTATATCAGATTCAATACACAAGTATTATTGAATTCTTAAATGAAAAGAAGACAAAGAAACTAAAAAAACAAGTAAAAATGCAATACAATGAAAATAACTTATTATATACTTTTTGTTTATTACAACTGGCCTATTGAAAATATTTAAAAAAAAAGAAAAAAAAGTCAATCTCTAGTTAAATAAAAAAGAAAAAAATAATTTATTAAAAGAAGTAGATACTGGACTTTGTAACAGCTGAAAAAAACTTTCCAAATAAGGCACTTTGTTTTTCAAATTCAAGTTTTTCAATTTATATTTTTTTAAATAAAGAGACTATAAATATTTTAAAAGTTTTTAATTCATATTTCAATCTTTTTACTTTCTTTATCAAGGCTCTTAATCTTTTATTCAGTAAACAAGACGTTTTAAGGTTTTGACACTCTTTTGTAACACAGTAAGAAACTTCCATAATGAATTTCTAAAACCAGAATGGATTAAAAAAACAGCTTTTGATATACAATTTTCTCTTGGCATTTTCAAAAGTTTTGAGTTAAAATATCATCTGCTTATTATTTTCAAAAAGTTCTTAAATATTTAAGTAGTAAAACTTTCCAAAATTTGATATAATATTCTTAAAAAAATATAAAAAGAACAGCTGTTCCAAGGTTAAAGCAGGAAAGGTTTTATATATGATATCAAATAAAGAAATAAAGTTTAACTACAGAGAAAACTCTCCAAAAAATAATAAAATATAGCTTATCTCAAATCTATTTGATTTACTATTTGTACAAACATAACAGTTCTATTTAACAATATTATATAACTTATAGAATCATTTAATATTACTTTTTTCAAATATTATAATCATAATTTTTTATCATCTTTTCTTAACTTATTATTATATATCTTATTAAAAATTTAATAACCTCGTAATTCTTTATTTGAACAAATTATATATATACTTTCTTTATTTGAACTTTGGTTTGTTTTTTGATCTAAGGCTTTTAACAAGTTAAGCTGAATTATCTTTAGAGCTTTTTTCAATTTTTTATATAATAAATTATACTTCAACCAAGATTTACAATACCATTTATATTATACAAGTTTGTACAATCCAATGGGAGTCAAAAAATAAGCCTTTTTCAAAGCTTTATTTTGATCAATACTTTGTTAAACCCTTTCAGATGCACATAACTTCTTAACTTTAAAAATCTATTTTCATATAATTCCCAATTTCAAAATTCCAAAGTTTCATATAATTATTTTATTTACAGCTATAAGAACTTTATTTTTTAAAAAAATTTACAATTGATTGGGTTAAACTAAAAAACCAACAGTCTCCAGTCAATATACACTTAAAAACAATTATACCATTCCTACAAATTTTCTTTCAAATCTTTACAGTATCACTATTAATCCATAATGGCTTTGTTACTAATATTATATTATGGATAAAATTTTTTAACTATTATACCAACCTATTTGAAACTTTATTCAATCAATCAATAACTGCAAACCTTCTTTACTAAAAGAACTTGAAATGTTAATTAAAGCCAACAAGAAATTGAAAAATCATGGTCAACTTAAGTACAAGGCCTAAGCTATTTCAGAACAAAGATTTTAGCTAATTAGTTACCAACCAAATCTAAGTTATACATCTATTGCTTCAGTTTATTCTGACAATTTGTGCCTACAATATGATACTACTTCAGAAACCCTTCCTTATATATTTTCTTAAATCATTAGCTATTAGAAAAAATTTAAACTCAATGATCTTATTTTGAATCTTAATTTTGAAAAGGTCATATCAAGAGATTTTATCAGCATTTAAAGCTCATAAATAATATACTTTTAAATTCTGCTTTACAAAAATAATTTCTTAAAATGTGATAAGACGTATTTTCCTTCGTGTATAAACAATTCAACATAAACATTATTCATCAACTTACTTCTTGCAGTTATCTCATAACATAAATTGTTTTTACTCATGAGACGATAGTCTTTATACCAAATGAGGTAAGTAGTGAAATAATCTCGATTTCAGAGAAAGCATCATATCGCGTCTTGTCTTTGATGACGGTCATTAATTTATTAGAAAATTGTTTACTACAAAAAAATTGAATTCAGACTAAACAAACATTTGTAATTCTTTCAAAATTTTCTATTATTCAGCCGCATTAAGTCCAGAAAACGAGAATGTCTTCGATAAATTTTAACTATAGAATTTACATTGTAAACAATATTGGTTGATTTTATACAAAATTATTTCTATAAAATTTAAAGTTCCTGTCTTAGATATATTTCTCAGAACTCGCATATCTAAAACCGACAGGCAGTACTTTAATTTAGAATCATAAGGAATAAAGGTTTGTATCAGAATAAGAAATAGTATATTTATATAACTAGCTACAACGCATTCTATTTTTCTAATTTGGTAATGCAAAAGCATATAAGCATTAAGCTCTAATAATACATTGTTCATAGATATTGATGATCATTGCGGAATAATATTATTTATTATATATTAATTAAGAAATTATTTTAACTTCCATTTTTTAACTATTGACAATGGTCGTTCAAATACAATGGGAAAATATGATTTAATCGCGTTTTTCCTATCCAACGTTCTTTCATTATCAAGCATACTCCATTGATCATCAAGTGGCCAAGGTCGTGTGTAAAGTAATTTTGAAAGTCTTTTGCCAATCTTTTCATTGCAAACAAATGATTCGATTCCTTTAATATAAATAATTTGATTAGAAGTGCTTTTGTTCTGCCGTGTGGTTATAGACTTTATGTTCACTAAACTCGCTTCTGCTTCATTTACTCCAAGATCAATATAAATACCCAAAATTTCACCGTTAAATAAATTGCTGCCAAAAGCAGATATGGGATTTATTAAGCCAAGAGCATTCGTCTGATTAAATGAAGATATTTTACTATTCTTGTATTGAATGGAAAGGATGCCATAACCATTAGAATGTTTAAAAGGAATGATGTGATCAATAACAGGAAACCCAGAAGGCATCTTAAAAGCAGCGTGACGATGGTAGGCTTCTATAATAAGTTCTTCCGACAGAAATTTTCGTCCTCCTTCTTTCACATGATCTTGATTGGTAGCTTGTAAGGAAATCCAGTGATTGAATCCAATTTCAGCATTTTTAATTCCCATTTTCTCAAAAGCCTCATTAAGTTGATGTATTTCTCTACAAAGTGCATTCAAAAATGATGACATAGCAACCTTCTCCAAATATGTGACAGCTTCATGACCCTTCTCTACGACACGCATATAAGCCTCTAGGAACAGGATGCGATTAACGAGTTCACCTCTTTCTCCTGCCTCAACTACTCCACGACTAAATAAGTCTATCAATGTATCTAAACAGTCCTCCCATCCAACGTCTACAATTCCTTTTAATGCGCCAGACGAAAGAATAGGATCTGAAGGATATGTACAAAGGAGTTCTGCGCGATCTTGTGAAACGCCTATAGCAGTTGCCATATATGACGCTATTAAAGTATCCACATCCGCGATCCGAGGTGAAATTTCAATAGCGACGGAGCAAGCCATGCATGCAAGATTTGCAAGACGATCCCTATCCTGCTTTTTACTAAAATTACATATCTTTTGACAAGCCAGATGTAATATGTCTGAAAGGATTACCCCCGCTTGAGCAAGAGATCCCCACAGTGGAATTCCTAGGTATAAATTTCTTTTAGGATCATAATCATCTCCGGGTTGTGCGAATTCCATTAATATATCCATATTATGAACATCCAAAAATGCAGGAAATAGATAAAACTGATGTAATCTAGCAGAGTGAGTGTCTTTTATTACAGGTGGTAGGTAATTATCAATCTTTCCATTTGTGCTAAGCAGTATATTAAAGAATCCACGCCATTTTATCTGTCGAATTTGTCGTCTCCATTGAATAAAGTAATTCTCGCTATGTGTTTGTTTTTTTAATGTTTTTTCAAGCAGTTCATGTGCTTCATCTATACAACAGATAACAGAGATCTCCCTATTTGGAAACAATTCTTTTATGAAATTTTCATTCCTATTATTTGATAAATGTTCTTTCTGCGATAATAGCTTAAAGATTTCATCCCAAAAACTTAAACAATCCTGTTCGTGTTTATCTTTGATTTGGATATCCCAAAATTTTGAGGCATCCCATTTGTGTGTATTGATTCGTTGATGGATTACATGAATTGATGCAGACAAAAGATTTCCATATTCATTACTTTGGATTTTGTCAAAGATTTTCTGAACAAATGGTGTTGAAACAGGATATCCACAGCTATTTTCTTTTCGTTTGCAAATATATAAAACAAAAATTTCTTTTGTTCTTAATTCTCCTACAAGTCTTGTTTTCCCAGAACCGGAACTTTGAATGATTGCTAAGTAAGGGGCATATGGTGTTTTCTCCTTGCACCATTCGCCATGGAAAAACTCCAATCTTTCATAAAAGGTATTCAGTGTTAATCCTTGATATGGAATCTGAAATGCATCTTCAATGAACTTTATATCAGTGTAACTAGTATCTACCAAATAATAAACCATTAAACTTAATCACTCGAGAATAATACATAGCAATATAATAACTTCGATTGTACTTTCTTACTTTCCGTCACCATTTTTCCGTGAGGACTTTGATCGTCTAATATATGAACGAATATAACAGAAATTAAACTAGAATTATGTTTATTATACAAATGATCACATACGAATACATACCGTTTCTTTTAACCACAACCTCTAATGCTTCGTTTTTCGTGTTGTATAATTCAGTTACTAATATATTGTCTTCTAATTCTATTTCCCCTTTTCGAAGTGTGATAAGCTCTTCCGTTATATCACCAAGAGAAGATTTTAAACGTTCTTTGACCACTCTTTTCAAATCATCCACACAACGGACCTTTCCCTCAAAGTCATCTTGTCTCAGGGAAACAGGTCTGGTTTGACCGAAATAGATCCATATTCTATCTATCATATCGCAAAATGCAAACAATAATTATTCGGTGCTCTTACGAAATGAGTCCTAAAAAGATATAGGATTTAAATATCGTTACCTTGAAGCGTAATTTCTGCTACACCGGCAGTTAAACCTTTTATTTCTATTGATATATAAAGAATATTGGTTAATATGTATTAATAACGATATAAAATAATGCGTTCGTTGTTTGTTAGTCACCATCATCTCGTTTGTTGTCTAAGTAAAATAGAATAAATATTAATTTGTTATAAACAACATACAGTATATGTAACATTATTTCCAACATACACGGAAGTATCACTTTTATTGGATTTTTTCGACTAATTTTGAACCTTTCGATCAAAATAGAAAAGTCATTTTGGAACTTGTCCTCAAAGATGTCGGCGTTAACCATAACATACCCGGAAGTAAAACATTAATGAGTTGTCATCATCAATTCCAAATAGCCATATTAATTTTTAAATGCTTTTATCGCATTTTTGCTTAAATAAAACGGAATTAATTATAGTATACTTTGATTCGTATTCTTTTTTCATATGGAGTATGATGGCGACAGCAGCGCAAGTTATGTCTTCTGGTTGCTTCGCCTTAATTGCTACAAGAAGATCAACAAAGTCGGCACCCGGAAGATCGGTAACTTTGTTTGCTTGGCGGCCTTCAACTTGAAACCAGATAGGAGTATTTAAAGTATTACTCATTCTTGTTAACGATATACAGTACTTGCATTCGTTTTTTTTACGCGTTATTTATGTATTTTGTGTTTCACAAGAATCAACCAATAAAATCAACATGAAATCAATATATCGCTTGTTCTATGATTAAAAATTTTTTAATAATTTAATATACAAAGTAATTAAATAAAAATTTTTTCATATATTGCTTTTAATATTGTATTTTATTAAAATCGAACAAATCAATTTTTTGCAATAAATTTCATAATATTTGGTTTATACAATTGAGTTACATATTATTGTGATTATTGTTTTTTTAATTTAAGTATAAGTGTTTAAAAAGTATATATATTTTTACTTAATTATGAAAATTTTAATTTTCTTATTAATTATAATATAAAGTATATTCTGCAATATACAGTATGGTGCAAAAGTCTTTGAACTAATTTTGATTTTTAATTTTATTTATAAATCAACAATTAATTAGTAAAATATAATAAAAATTTGAATATATATAT